TTTTTTTTTTTTGATTCTGTTGCTGCGCAGAACACGAAAGAGATCTAGAAGAACAGCGTGATGCTAGCTGCTAGCAAGAACACAGTACGTACTGGTAGCAGTTGCAGTTAAAGTAACGCGGACAGCAAAGAGTCATTTGGGATGGCTTTCACTGGCATCGGCTTTTCCCCTCAAGTACCTTCAGCCTTCGACAGCCATGTTTAGACGAAGAGACCCCAGATCCAATTCTAGCCTCTGGGGAATATGTGCAGTCGCGAGCGAGCTGCCAAGCCTTCAACAGGGCGAAGAAGCCACCAGCGACCTGGAAGACCGTGGCTTGCACACTAAGTGACAAAATTAAGTCAAGAACGATTGCAACTTTCTAGGCAAAACGACCAATACGGTTCTCAAGCGACGTCGACAGTCAGCATTCTTCCCTACAGACTCGGCCCTCCGATCCAAGCATGATCAGGACCTTTGAAGATTTTGTGACTTGTGAAGTCAGAAGTTTGTGGCTGAGACTCGGACAGGAAGATGACCCCTGTCATCGCGAAGTCGTTCATCTGCATTTTCATCTTCAACCTCCTGTCTCTTCGGGATCCGAGGTGCTGCAAGCAGTCTGAACGCTAGTGCAAAGATTACAAGGAGAACGCAAACCAACAGGCATAGTCAATGTTCGCGAGCCTGAGAGTACAATACTAATTGTGAGGATATCATATTGTGTGTATGCGCATGCGTCAGGGTGTGTTTGTTGGCGCAGGGGATGGAAGGCGGGGCTCATCAGCTGCTACACAGGCCCATCCATGAAGCAACTCGGCTACCTTTCTTGCTGAAGTGTTCCTTGCTTTGGCGTTGGACAACACTGGGGCTGTCTTTTGCAATCTGCACAAGATGCATGTTTCACTGGTGAGGATGTACTCCTACATTGGCCTCCTGTGCGCCACTGTTTTTCACCGGGTTCTGACAATTCCGTCGTGTGCTTGTCTGCCAGGTATGCGGTTGGAGATTGGTTGGAAATGAAGTCAATGGGCTCTATGGATGGTGCCGCATACCAGGCCATGGGCGGCACCCTGCGACTCGCCAGTGAAAGCCGGGATTTGGCAGGTCCTCCTTCAGTCCAAGCTCATCATCACAGCACTCATTCTGTGGGCCATCAAAGGCACCACTGTTTTGGTCGCAACGTGTTGTGGAAATTCGGGGCTTTCTTCGGACTGTGGGCCAGATTGCCATCACAAGGAACGGCATGCTAGCCTCGGAGATGTTGAACGCCATTGTGTGATAACGTGCGCAAAATAGTTTGTGTGAGTGTAAGCAGAACTGCCTGTTTCGGCGGAGTGGGGGGTGCCTTGTCGCGTCAAGTGAAGTGCTAGCAAACAATTCTCGCTTCCTCCACTGGTTCATAGAGAAGGTCTGTAGCTGGGTTCCCTCATCTAGTACCTGCCTGCTTCGATGATCCAGGCGACAAGGCCAAGCAGTCAAAGACGCAGTGGTCCACCCTGACGACACTGACGATTGGCACGCCTGCCAGCATGCTAGTTTGTTGCTTTCGCTGCGCTCATCAAGCTGGTTCTGCAGCAATGACGGAAGGCATGATTATCTTCATGGTTGCTGAGTCTGGCGCTTCTAAAGGCAGCGCTTCCTCAGCTGCACTTTGCCGACTCACTCTTGTACTCAGCACCAGATGCCTGAATGATGGAAAGCGGCTAGCTCCCTGAACTCGCATGGGTCTGCTTTCCGGTCTCAGGCGCCCCTAAGCAGAGGCAGGCTGCTGGTTTCCTGGGGACTTTCTTCGTCTTGATGAAGGCCTCGGTTGGTTGCGGTCTGTTGAGTTGGAGTCTTTGAAAATTTCGGGTGCGAGGGTGCTTTCACAGGTCCTGATCTCCTGCTACGGCGCCGTCGTGACGGACAAGGAGCTAAAGCAGTACAAGGACTGACAGTGGGTCACTTTTCAACTTCGGTCGGTAACTTTGTCTTGTTCTGTCACGAAAGCTAGCTCTTTGGAGCTTGCGAGAGTTGTCGTTTACACACTTACTCTCTAGCATTCAGTTGGGCCAACAAGCGACCGCGGGCCGTAAGTCTTCAGTGGTATGAAAATCGATTAGTTAACGGGCTGCGGGGGTGGCCAGGCGGAGCCCCCCCTACTGTAAGATTGATTCATCAACCGATTTAGTGGCAGGAGGAAGGGGGACCCTCTCCCCCCTCCCCTTGGCAAGACCCCCTCCCCCCCTTCGGAGGTTTCATATAGTTGACCTGGTTGCTGCAAATGGCCGGCGGCATCAGACTGCAGGATTTGAATTGTGGGTATCTTTGTGGCATAATAGATTCTAGGGAACAGGCATTGCAAATCACTTCTAAGGACAATGAGATGCATTATCATGACTAACGAAACGCACCTGCTTCTCTGCTCCCTTGCAGTTCCGACCTTGCTCTAGCTTTGGTAGCCCAGCTCTCAAGTACTTTGTACTCAGCACTGAAGTCTTGTTTCAGGGAGCTCGGCCAGCCTTTCACGCCCCGCGCGACAACACATCTGTTCGACTCTGTCGAAGCAGATTTGCCTTGCCGCAACTGGTGAGCAGGACCTACCACTCTACGTTCCGATCTCAGTCCGTGTGTGCCGCTGTCAAGAAGTAGCCTGATCAGGCCCATGTCCTTGTCGTCACTTCCAGCATCGTAGGAATCGTAGTGGAACTGCCAAGTGCAACCTCTCTTTGGCTCTCGGGTCGGACGGGGCCACTGCCAACCGTCCGAAGCTGATGGCTGCTCCAAACTTCAGGTCCAGCTCAACCAGATGTTCTTTTCTTGGGGCACTGTTCTCAGAAGGACTCCGAGCATCCATTCGTCCATGCAGTATCAAGCCACTGCCAAGGTGTGTTCTCGCTGATTTTGGCTGCTATGTTCGAACCGAGAGTTACCTGGGTGCAGGGAGAGAGCGCCGTTGTCAATTCTTTCACCACACGGATGTGATGGCTGTGGTGAGCATGGGCAGGTTCTCATTTCGTCCTCTGCATTCTTCCACGGGTGGAATGCAGCAACATGGCTGGCGGCACTACTGCAGACAGTTCAATCAGCTTCAGAGATTTGGGTTGGCAACACCCCTAGAGCGGCTCGGAACAGCGTTCACTACAACGGCAAGCAGAAATTCAACACCTTGCATTAGGCAAGCAGCCGATAGCGAAGCTTGACCTTGCCACTAAAGTCACTAACATTCAAATTTGAAATCCACCCCCCCAACTCTGCTTGCGTGACACCAGTACAACTTTTGATCTTTGGCCCCAAAGGAGTACCTGGTGTCGTATTTCACCAGAGACAACTGTAGATCACGACCTTCGCCAGTTGCCATTCTGAAGGTCGTGCTGTCTTTTTCGGTGAAGACCGTGCTGACCATGACGCTCCTCAAGGTATGCTCGCTCAGCATTATTCCGGGTTTGGCCGGTGCAGGTATGTCCGAGAGCTGGTGATGATGAATGTAAGCCAGACCATGCAGAATATGTGGTGCCACTCAGATGCAGGTTCTGGATTCTATCATGAAGACTATCGGGGAGGCGGTAGCTGTTCTTGCCACCTTCTTAGATGCGGCAGCAACCTTCCCACAGTACAGTTCGTATGGCGGAGCGCTTCCGCTGTCTGTCGTTCGTTTGGAGCATATGCTGGACGACCGGGGAGCGAACTTTTCTGACTTGAGTGCAGAACATCCGCCCTTGAGTGTCAATCTTGAAGAAGGTCATCTACGCTTTCCAAGTGTTCTTGCCCTTCTTCGGCAAGGAGTTTGAGGCCGGCCGCCTTCCAATCGTCGCATGACAGGTTGGCACGTGAAGTGCGGCCGAAGCGCCCTGTCCCACTGCTGACGCGTGTGATGAAAGCAATAAGTAGCTGGGCATTGTCTACGTGCTGGAGGCAGTGGCAGTTTGACTCACAAATCAACCATCAACCATTGGCCTGTGGCTCCGATGTGTGAGAGTTATGATACCGTGATTTGTCCGAGTGGCCACACTGAAAACGATCTCTGCCGGGCAGATTCAAACCTTTCTGGCGATGCTGGCAGTGGTGATGACGGTGCCTCGCTCGGCTAACAGCTGACTAATGTCAAGCAGCAAGCTCTCAGTCGGTTCACACGGTGCGAAGACTCCTCAAGACTTCGGTGTCTCGCTGTAGGTGACCACCTACATGTTCCTCAAGGCTCGGTGTCTCTGGAGATGGTGCCATCTTCATGCACGCCGTGACAGGAGGACAAGCCGAAAGAGATCGAAGCGAAGGATCCTCGCGCGCGAATTGTTTGAGCTTCCATCGGTAAAAACCCCGCTTGCACAGTCTGAGACCATATAAGACCCATGTCATATGATACTGTGATGTTTCTGTCTTGCTTGCATTGTTTTCCTCATATGTCGTGCTTACCACGTGCACGAGTGCTCCTCGACATCTCTGTTTTGCTTCGCTTTGTCCCAATGCGAGTTGTAAGATATTGAAGGTGCATATTTTCCCCTCTATCAAGTGTGCTGTTGCCGCTACCATTGCTGATGAAGGTTGTCATTATAGTCATGATTGTTGTCTTCTTTGGTGTGGTTCTGCTTGTGGTGTGGTCGGTGTGTGTGGTCGTGGTCACTGCCAGGCCAAAAGTGAAGTCTGAGCGGCTTGAAGGGCGTTTCTGGCGTTTCACCACATGCCAGAGAAGTCGACAGGTTTGGATTTGCCAGCTGCAAGCACTGGTACGATCTCGCGGGGGTGACGGGGCTGCGGGGCCATAGATCTACACGCTCCCAAGACTCAAAGACTCGCACCCCAGCTTGGTTGCAGAAGCAGTGCTTAGCTGCATTCGTTGCAGCCGAGGGGCTGGACCAGCAGATCTGTTTCGATCGTTTCATTAAGATTGCTGCTCTGGCCCTTTGGCAGACTAGGTTCGTCTCCTGAGCGGCGGGGTACAGTACGAGAAAGAGAGCGAGTTGACGAAGCTCGCTGAGCTCGCACAGTCGATGACTTGGAGACGTCGTGCGAGGTGCTGGAGCTCTTTGAGCGCAGCCTTCAGAGCCACGAGATCTCTTTGGAGGGGAGGCGTTCGTTGCCCGGCTCGCGTTGCGGGGAGAGTGTTGATGTACCGCCTGTCGCAAGGCTTGCAGCGCTCGCAGAACAAGAAGGCCTTCTGGAGCCGCATGGAGGAGTAGAAGTAACCGCAGCATCGCAACTTCCAGAGCAATGTGCTGCCAAGATAAGCAACTTAGGGCTGCCCCAAACTCACAAGCATTCTAAACCCATCCGGCTGCATTATGCTGCTGTGGTGGTTGAGCAGTTGAGCAGAGGGCCTCGCTTCCAGGATTTCCCAGCGTGGCTGGTCACAAGGCTGGGGCTATATGGCGCACCAACGACTCGGAATAGCACGATGGTGATACTGTAACCTCACAGTGGTTTGACAGCTTTGCAGGCAGCGGACGTTGCGGGCATTGCGAGCTCGGTGGTGCTGCGACGTTGGTGCCCCAGCTTTTTGCCAGTGGAAGACCGAGCTGTTTGGAAAGAGGCAGCAGACACGCTTCAAGACTTGAATACCGTTTCATGCGTGCATAGTCGTGAGGTCCTGCCATCCCGGAGGCTTCTGCCATGGCCCTCAGCATATTCGGCCGGGCTGTTCGTACCCCTTCGCTTGTGCAGGCAAGTCTTCTTTCACCTTGCATGCCCCTGCCAAGGATCTGCGTGAAGACTTTGAGGGCTGCCCTACTCTCATCTTGACGCACAAGGCTCACAGAGCGCAACATGGATTTACAGCAAGACGGACTGCCGTCCTTCACATGTCTTCCTGGATGGTTGTGGTCAGGATTCCGATGGTGAGAGCAGCACATCGGAAGGGCGGAGCTATCTTTCAGGCCCGGCCTGGGCCTGGACAAGCCTCGCTTTGCAAGTGTGTGAAGCTCGAGGCCGAGGGCCCTCACCAATTGTTGAAGAGTTGGTGGACGAGGAGAGCATGAGTCTGCTGATGTCTGCTGTCTTTAGATGGCCAAGCCGTCCCCAGTCCGCCGTGTGCGCCGTGTGCGCAGGAGCCTGAGTTTGCCAGGTCCCCGGAGACCTTCGCCCGACTCTCCGGGCTTCACCGAGCGCAGTGAGGTGAATTTTTGGGAGAATGATGTTGAGACCGACAGCAAGCCGCACTGGCCTTGCCATGCACGTCTGCAGCAAAAGAACTGCATTCTGAGCCAGTTTTGAGGCTGGCCCTTACGAAGCCTTGTGTGAAACAGGACGAGCAGCCCTAGACCCCGCTGAAAGACTGATGTGCCTAGTCCGCACAAGGAGATCCAAGAAACGGCGCCGAAGCGTGGCAATCGCTTGGTCCTCGTCCTTTGGACCTTCGTGTTCGCACGTTGAAATTTACAGAAGCTTCCAGTAGGTTCAGTTCCTTCACCTGCCAATTCCGCGGACACTACGGGGGACGTCGAAGAGGCAACTACAGCGACTAAACTTGAAGTCGCTTCTTGTTCGATGGCGGTACTCAATAGCGTTGAAGCTCGTGCAGTCCAAAGATCCTGGAAAGCTTGCAGCCCTGGCCCTGCTGCAGCATGCCAGTGCGAAGGACTGCAACTTTATCCCGCTGCATTGACGACTTGGCATGATCTGCAAACGTTCGGTGCGCTCTCCTGAGGACATGTCTGTGATCAAAGGGTTGAAATCTGAGGATATCAAGAAGGCTTTCTGCTTGATGGCACGTGTTTTCTCCAACAGTCCTGAGAGATGGCAGGGGCTTGAAGAGATGCATGGTTTTGACACTAAACTGGCTCAAGGGAAGGACTCTCTGGCTGTAGCACGGGAATAAACGACTGCGAAGCGCCATGGGGATCGACATTATTGCAGGCGGCCGCGTCAAGAACAAGGTTCGCACAGCAAAGACCGACAACCCTTACATCCTCCTGCTGTGCAAGCTGTACAAGTTCCTTGCTCGTCGGACCGACTCGAAGTTCAACAAGGTGATCTGCAAGAGGCTCAACATGTCTGGCCGCAATCGTCCGCCCTTGTCCCTGTCGAAACTTGCGAAGCAGATGGCCAACAAAGAGGGCAAGACCGCAGTTGTGGTGGGCACGGTCACCGATGACAAGCGCTTGTATGATGTTCCTTCGATGTCGGTCTGCGGCCTGCGCTTTACCGAGACCGCCCGTGCTCGCATCACCAAGGCTCAAGATTGGTTAGGTTGTTGAAGATTGTAGCTGAACACTAGTTGGCCCGACGTCGCCAGGCGGGTGGTGAGTGCATCACTTTCGACCAGCTGGCCATGCGCTCCCCATTGGGAAAGGCGCTCTTATTGTCAGCAGATGAGTCCAACTCAAAGTTGGATCCGACAGGGCACGGTGCTGCTGCGTGGCCCAGTCAAGGGTCGCGAGGCCATCGCCACTTGTGGAGTCTTCTATGCGCCTCTCTCCCTCACTCCCCCGCCGCCTCGCTCCCTCTCTCTCTCTCTCGTTCTCTTTCTCTCTGTGTCTATATTTGCCTCTTCTGTCTGTTTCATTTGTTCCAACCAGTTTGGCCTGACCTGCAACGCCAAATATGTCAAGAAGCGTCGCTGTGAGGCAGAACGCCACTTCGGCAAGGCGCCGGGCGTGCCGAACAGCTCCTTGGAGACAGTGTGCGAGCATTTGCCGTCTGCCACCTCTATTTGCCTAATGCTACCGCAATGCTACCGCTGGCTTTTGGGAGATCTCAAGGCAAGACTGCGCCGTACGTTCGCTCAAAGGGTCGCAAGTTCGAGAAGAGCCGCGGCCGCAGGAAGTCCCGTGGCTTCAAGGCACCGTCGCCCTTCTTGTAGCAGCTCAGGGTTGACTTTTTGCAGCGACACCCAAGCTCATCCCAAACTCGCAATCGTTGTCAATTAAAAATTGAAGCGTTTGTGCAGGTGTAAGCAGCTGCAGCCTACATCAGCAGCCACGACAGCCGAGAGAAAAGACTGCATGCTTTGATTGCTTGTCATGGACATATCTGCACTGTGCTTGGAACATGGTATGACTGGCGTGTTGTTTCGTCACAGGTTGTGGCCCATCGCAAAAAGCATGGACCATTACGCCAGTTGGACGCTTTGCCGGGCATTCTGGGGCCGGAACACTCAGTTGTCAAGCATTGTCAAGCAGAAAGCAAAGTGCGGGTGAGCAGTCCTTCTGACAACTGTTTGTGCAATGTCTTGGTTAGGCATAAGGACGATTGGATATGAACATATCTGAACCTGATTTATGAACTCAGTAGTTTCAGGAGAAAGTGCCGCAAGCGCTGTCCTTGTTTGTTTAGCAGTTTGTGTTTATGGCCGTTCCAAGTCGCAGTCTTCAAACGTCACGGCACAGGTCTGCATACCCGTGTAGCGCATACACGCGTGCCAACAACTCACATTGCAACCGAGCCCAAGACAAGACCCGGTGATGCTCGGCATCGCAGTCTTTCCGACCGCCGAGTCTGCAGCCGCGACAGACTCTTCACCGCCAAACCGTTTATAGTAGTTTCGTTAGCTGTGGTCGCCATCAGAAGCTGTGGACGAGTTCTGCTGTGAGACAGACAGCTGTACTCCAGGCGGCGAATCTCAATCAAGAAGCTGACGATCTGATCGATGATGATGTTGTCAGGTGCATGTGACTGCATGAGGGCCAGGGCCATATCAGTGTCTGCTTTCACCGCACAGCTGCATACCAGCATGCAAGATGTGAGTCGAATGGCTCCTCGGTGCGCGTGGAACTTTCAATTTCTGCAGGTAAGCAAGGGACTTGACCTCCGTTGATTGCGTTCTATGTGTCGGAAGCAGATCGGAATGAATTCGAGTATCGGTCACGCACAAAAAGTATCAAAGGTTGACAGGCACAGCGGCATCGTGTTTGTGCAAGTACGTGACCTCAGTATTACACAACTGAAGCCTTGCACGGCCATTAACTGAGATGCACAGCCAGGGAAGGCAGTGTGGAGTGAGGGTAAAACTTTCGGGCGCAGGAGGGGGCTTCGAGCTGCAGACAGGTTTTCGGTCAGAGGTTGGACTGTACCGTCGCATTTTGATCCGGGAGTTCGCCATGTTCTACGGGTCGGCCAAGAACTGCAGAGATGCTGCCGTCTCATTGCCTTAGTCTCACATGGTGGACCAAGCATGTTGCAGAGGGTTTGGGTACGCACAAACTTTCGGTTCCGGTGCTCAGTAGCTTCACAGCGTAGAGACAGTCTCAGTCGTACTACCAAAGTGTTACATGCAGTTCGAGGAAGAGGAGAAGGAGGCCCTGGTTTCAGCTCAAACCTGTTAGCTATCCCCAGTGTCTCTGTTAATCAGGTACAAACATAGATTTTAATATTGCCGCTGGATGTCGTCTTGGTACTACGGGAAAGCGGTTGTTCTTGAGGGTCTGTTCCGCAGATGCCAAACTGTAAGCAGAATCTTATGCGAATCCCATCAGTACAACACGTGCTTCGGTGCCCCGGAGCCGAGAAGAACAGAAACAAGGTCCAGGCCCCATTTCTTCCGTTTGCGGGTTTCGGACGGGTCTTGAGGCAAGGCTGGGGGTTGAGAGTTCAGGCTAGTTCAGGCTCACGTTTGCGTCGACTCTTTTGGGCTTCAAGCTGCAAAGAACAGTGGTGGCCCATTCTCGGATGTTTGCGTGGTATGGAAGCAGCACATCCATGGGCGTGCAGTGCCAAGACGCTGTCCAATAAAGAAGTCGCTGCAAGACTTGTTTCGCTAAGTGCCAGATCGTTGTGTCCGACAGCGAGTGCTGCCACCGCCTTTCGAGTGGGGAGGCGATGTTTGAAGGACTTGGAGGGTGTTTTGGCAGTTGCGATGAAGATCCCACGGGCCGCTGAAGCACAGAGACTGCGAGTTTGCCGTACACGCTCCTGCACACGACCCTTCGTTTCTTTCCAACATGCCGACACGAAGCATGCACGAGAGCGAGAAAGACTGGAGACCGCCAAAGAACGGCTAGCACTGGGAGGCATTGATAATGCGAAAATCCAGACAGCGGTCTCGGCAGATGATGGCGGAGATTGGCCGGCGCCTTAGGACTGGAACTTGCGCATTGCCGCGTGGTACGGCACTGTCGGAGGATTTGCCAAGAATTGCATCAACTGTGCAGCATAAACTGCAGGCTCCCAGAAACATAGATTGTTGTTTGGTGTCGTGTTCTGTCGTTTCCTTGTGCGTTTGGCTTCGTCGACATTTCGAAGTATGAGAGCAGGCAAGGCCTGCAGTTTGCCGACGACTGTTCCTGCTGAATCAGACAAACAGTACATGACTCTCTGCATGTGGTTTGCGGCCAGTCTGCCGTCGGGAAGAGTAGCAGATGCAAAAGGCCATTCGGAGCCCGTGTTCGTAACACTGCCGCCCAGAGTGAGGCATGGATCGCACTGCCCTGGCACCAAGGATAGTCCTCATAAATCTCGAGGAATCCCAACTAAAGTCAGAAGATTCCGGCATTTAGGAAGCTGCAAGATTCCCGAAACGAGGTTCGCAGCATGTGTTCCACTCAGCTGCCTTGGCCACGATGATGACATGCGCAAGTTCATTTGGCAGCTGTACTGGCTTCGACTTGCCAGTGATGCATCTGGTAGCCAGGCAGGATCAGCAAAGCGAAGAATCCGCAGGCAGTTCCGTGTCAGCAGTTTGTTGACAGGTTTCTGCACTGGAACCTCTCGCAGCTAGCGCTCAGCTCCGAATTCTGCGAATCTTCGGCTCGGGAAGTCCTCCGGCGTTCCCGCTGCGACCTCTAGATCCCGATGGACTGCAGGATGCAAGTCCAAGAAAAGATTTCGCAATGTCCACTCTGAGGCCTTGTCTTTTCTTACACGAGCACTCGCAACATCATCATGCAACAATATGTAATACTCGGGTTGCTTGCGAGTTCAAAATACATCTCCACCGTTAGGCACCACGCATGTGAAGTCTGTTGAATCATGACCAGGGCAGGGTGAGGGAAGGGAAGAATGTGAAGACATGCACTGCTTTGCGTCGGCTTTCGCTACTCGAGTTGTTATACTTTCATGCTGCCATGATATTCAATATTCTCATGCTACTAACTCTCAAGGTTTCATGCGGTAGCGATAGCAGTCTGCGTCGCGGTGGCGGTGGTAGTAGATAGAGTAGTGGTGGTAGTAGTAGTAGTAGTAGTCGTCGCAGCAGCAGTAGCAGTAGCAGTAGCAGTAGCAGTAGCAGTAGCAGTAGCAGTAGCAGTAGCAGTAGCAGTAGCAGTAGCAGTAGGAGTAGCAGTAGGAGTAGGAGTAGGAGTAG